CAATTCACAAGAGATGAGGAGAAAAGGTAGATCAGACTATCTACCAAATTTGACAGTGATGATTTTGTTTCTTTATTTATTTATCAAGTATAGTTTGAAAATGAATCAAACTCCTATGAAGATGTGGTTGAGTGTAAAGAAAGTAAAAATACTGTTACATGGAGGCATAAAGCAATAGTTTTATCAATAAATGAACATAAACATATTAGTCACATATTTCAATTTCATCTAAAGTTTCCAAGCCTCTTCAAATATGTGAAAGTCTATCAAGAGCCAGAGGCTTAGCAAAGCTATTGACCAATTAATTTTTCTTATAGCCAGTTAATCAAGGTAGGTGCCTCTGGATGCCAAAAATCTAATGTCTTAGTGCCACTAAAATATCTAAAAATCTGTTTTCGGTACAAAGGTGCTATTCTTTGCGATTAAATTGAAATATAACACATAAGCACATACTTAACATAATATGGGGTCATCTAGTGGCTAAAAAGAAAGATTCGATCATACCTCAATATTTTGTTATGTTTACAAATATACCTTGATCATCCAATTTGATTGATAACTTCTTTGGAGTGTATATTGATTCCAATTCATTCATTTTGAACTCGATTCTTTTTTTTTTTTTTTGGGTTGAGGATAGAGCTTGTTTCCTGGTCATGTGCTTAAACATCCACTAACTCAAGACAGTTTGCTCTTTATTTTCTTTGGTACCTACAAAATAATTTAGGGACTGTTCTCTTTGGCATTTTTTGACCTTTTTCTATTTTCGATTTTTCAAAATGGTGAAAATGCGTTCTCTTTTCTATTTTCAAAAACAAAAACAAAAAATTGTGAAGAAAACACAAAAAAACCAAAAGGTCGTTTTGAGTGCTTTCTGTTAAAAATACTAAAAACGCGCCCAAAACCCAAAACACGCAAAACAGGAGAGAAAGAAAAAAAGTGGATGGCTGTGAGACTTCTAACTTCATTTTCCCCTTTGGGCCAACTCCTCCTTCTCCCTTCTTGATGTCGACGACAAGGAATGGTTGATGGTGGTGGCACCGGTGTAAGGAGATGATGCTGCTCCAAATCATAGTAGCGTTTTGCAACCTCCGCTCCAAACCACAACAACGTCACGACCTATTCGTCACTCACAACGCTGTTGTGGTTGGGCCTGACATTCGCAGCACGACGATAGGTGATGGGTGTTGATGGTAGTGGTGATTTGGTTTCTTTTCTCTCTTCTCACTCTCACTGTTAGGGGTTCTTTGGTTTTGGTTGATGGTGGTGGCGATTTTGGGTTTGGTTGATGATGGTGGGGATTTTGGTTTTCGTTGATGGTTGTACCGACAGTCGACGATGATGATTTTGACAGTGATGTTGATGGTGGTGGTACCAACGATCAATTTTGTGGTGGTGATTGGTTGTCTTGCTGACTAGTTGTGGTGGTTGTGATGGTGGTGGTGACTAGTTGGCAATGGTGATTCTAGTCATGACGACTTTGTGGTGGAGTTGTGGTGGTGTTGTGAAGAAAATGTTATAAAAAAATTATTCTCAAAATTTACAAATAAATGCATTCTTCAATTTTGTGTTTTGAAAAATAGTTTTCTAAAATGACAAAAAGAACGTGTTTTCAACAATCTTAAAATGAACACTCAAAACACAAAACCCAAAATGAATTCGAAACTCAAAATTACAAAACTGAAATACGAGGAGAACAGCCCCTTAGTTTTTATTCTTTGGTGCCCATGCAACTTTGGGTTCTTGATTGTTAGTGTTTGTAGACTTTGGAATCCAATTGTATTTGCTCTCAAAATGAAACCTCTTTTTGATTAAATAATTAAAAGATACATGTCCATTTTTGTAGCAAAAATTACACGTTACATTTAAAATAGGGAAAGTGAAGTTTTAACAAAGAAGTTTTCAAAAAGACTTTTGTTTTAAAAATGGTTTGTATTCAACTCCTCCTTTATCAAAACACATTTTTGTTCACCAAGTATTAAATCAAAATTTTTCATGTCTTGAGTAAATTTGTGAACAATTTGAGTCAAATCTAAAATCTTTTCTTTTAAAGAGGAATTTTCCTTAATTAAAAAAAAAATCATAATTGAGTTTTTCTTTTTCAAAATCATTTTGAGTTTTCAAAAGTTTCTTTACTTCTTTTTCCAATAAAGAATTTTTCTTTTTGATAGTAGAGTGTTTGAGAATAAGTTTTTCAAATTTTTCAAAAAGCTCATCATATGAGGTAGATATTACTGGGACTGAGACACGGCCCAAACTCCTACGGGAGGCAGCAGTGGGGAATTTTCCGCAATGGGCGTCATCATATAAAGAATTGCCATTTGTGTTTACTTCATTTTCAGAGGCCATGAAACACATGTTTGTAATTTCCTCTTGACTTCCATCTTCATCAAGTTTATCATCATCACTCTCATCCTGTATTGATTGAAATGTTTTAAAAATATTTTTTGTTTATCTACTTCGTTATATTCTTCTCTAGGGTTAGGAATTATTTGATCCGATTTACCATCTTCTTTAATAACCTTTTTAGGTACATATGGACCAAATTCAATAGCTACTTAATTATTATAATTTGTTGATTGAATAAATATTGTTATTCTAACTTTCCAACAGTTATAATTAGTACCATTAAAGAAAAGAGGTCAGTTTGTAGAATGCCCCCCGAGATTTTGAAAAATTGGATTAGCCATTACTTAAGATTGTGAAATTTTCGAAAATGAGTGCCAAACAATGAATACCGATCCTTTACAAAGTTGAAATTTACGGGACCTTAACATGACCCACACTATTGAGTTTTACAGGATCTCAATATGACCCACACGATGACTAAGAGGAGAGATTTCCACCCTTTTATATAGATGATAATTTTGAATTTTTGGGGGGAAAATCAAACCCACCCCTAAGGTGCCATTTGTACAATACTACTATTACCTACGCCACTTGGATCCCTCGACCTCTTATATTATACCAAATGTCGATACTTCGGTCAATTTCAAAAAAAAAAAAAAATTCAAAGTGGGGATGCTACCCCTTATCGATAAACATCGACAAGAGGTTAAGTGACTAGTGATATTAGATGATATCAATAATTATCTACGGTAACCAATATGGAGCAGACTACTCAATAGGCACTCTACATGAAGTAACCCATGCTAGGCCGTCTACAACTAGGATGTCCAATAATGGCCCAACAGTTACATAGCTTCAGACACCTATAAATACTCCTAAGGCGAGACAAGTATGGATCTTTAAATTTTGCCTATTTGCATATACATTCTATCTTTTCTTCCTAAGTCTACGTTCCTAAATATCATACTAATTCTCATGTCGGAGATATAAACAGGGGAGAAAGCCCTAACCTTATTTCACATGTAACATTTGTTTATCGGAATAGCAGAAATACATTGCACCAACGGGAAAGCGAAGGTTTATTTCTTAACTATTTCATTCAATTACAAATCATCGAATTAATTGATTATAACTTATTTATCAATAACAAATTATCAAATTAGCTGGTCATAATAACCAAATTTAATGGTCACAGATTACACTTTATCTGCCCACCTCACCCCATTCGCTTTACCTAAAACTTCGTTGCTGTCTCAAATTTGAAACCTTCCGTCACCAAAAGCATAGCCATAGCTACCACCACCTCCGACACACTACCACCATAACCTCATATGAACCACCATCGACATTGCCACCTCAGCACCACCACTATCATCACCAAGATCGTACTACACAAATATATAGATCGCACCAACAATTGTCACCACCCCACCAACAACTATCACCATCACCTTGTTTGCTCCAACCTCATAATCATCAACAAAAATTATATGGTGGATCATAATGGCAGTGCACTACAACTCGCTGCAACATCACATGTTGCTGCTACAATAGCAATAGTGTGACACTGCCTAGGAAACACCACTTTTATAATAGTGATGATGAGCGTATATTGCCCCCAACGATGATTGAGTGTGTTAGCAACTAGTCGTTGTAGTGTCGTCATTAACATTAGATAAGTGAGGAAGGTGTTGATGAGGAAAAAGTGAAATGAAGCAGTTGTTACATTTTCTTGTGGTGGAAAATAAATTAGGGTTATGGTAGTTGTGATGCGGAATTGAGTGGGTTACTCCTAATTCTTGTCATAATTTTTGAAAAAATAACTTTACCAACTAATTATCAAAATAAAAAATTGAAAATCATGCACCACGTGTTTGGACTCCATTTTAATAAAGTTTTAGAAAAAAATGTATTTTGAATTAGTAATTTATTGAAAAATATATAGTTAAAAAGAAGAAATTTTTTTGAATTTATCTGTAATATTATTTAATTGAAGAATTTGTGGTGGAAAAAAAAATGAAAAATGTATTAAAATTTGATATTAGCTTCGACTAGGGATGTCAACGAGCTGAAACTTAATGCTCGAGTAAAATAACACGGGCTTTTTCGAGCCCGATTCGAGCCGAGCAAAAGCTCGGCCAAGAAAACAAAGCTCGACTCGAGCTTTTGGCTCGAGCCTTAGCGAGCTGAGCCAAACCACGCCCGAGCCGGCTCGACTTTTTTTCTCTCTCTATTATTATTATTTTTTTATGCTGCCTTTCTTAAGGCTTAAGGCAGCTGGCTACTGCCTTATGAAAAAATTGAGGCAGCAGGCTACTGCTTTGAAAATAAGGCACCGCTTGCTGCCTTTTTTTCTTGTTTTATTGGTTTTATTTTTATTTTTTCTAAAGTAAGGCTCGAGTTCGAGCCGACGAGCTCAATTGACATTCCTAGTTTCGACCATCCCCGCCTCTATAAATAGCCCGCCCGTACCCAAGTTTTTTACCCTCTAATTTGTCTACGCTTCTGGTTTCTCGGAAGCCGTCCTCTCTTTCTTGCACCTATTCATTGAAATAAATTGGGAGAGAGAGAGAGGTGAAGCATTTGTGGCCTCTCGTTATAGCTCTTAATCGACGCGGTAAGGTACAATTCTCTGTGCATTTTATAATTTCTAGGGTTTTTTTGTAGCCTTTTCAGATCTGAATATAATTCTCCACTTACGCATGCGAATTATATTGGGCACATCGCAGTAACGCGATCTATAATCTTAGATCAGGATTTTTCTTTTTGGTCAATCCTTAGATTTCAGCTATTGAAGTCGGAATAATTTTTACCTTCTTATGGAGGTATTTGTTCTTGCTATGGCTGTATGTACCGATGCATGAGCTATGGTTCTTAATAACATTTGTTAATAATTTCTTTCTAGGGTGAAACCTAAGATATTATGGCGCTTGCATTTCCAAATTTGCTTGTCAGATTGTCTTTATCTACTCAGCTTTCTTTCTTTGGTTTTATTTTTGTTTTTATTTTTTTGGACAGTGAAGCTATATGTGTTCCACTTGTGATTATTGGTCGACCTCTAGTTTATTTTGAGCAATAAATTTGCAAGTTCTAGATCTTTCATCAGTCCTTTCTTCCATAGAAATTTATTTACTGTTGTTTATTGAAACTACAGGATAATTAAGAGGGAATCTTTGGTATGGCTGCTATTGCTACGTCCCCTTCTACTGACATTCGATATGGGCCAGATGACCCTACCCTCCCAAAACCATGGAAAGGCCTGGTTGATGGTAAGACCGGGTATCTGTATTACTGGAATCCGGAGACCAACGTTACCCAGTATGAGAGGCCCGTTATCACTTTGAATGCAAGCTCTGCTGTGCCTTACAAATCTTTGAGTTCGTCAGTTCAAAAGTTTTCTCAAGGTTGCCGCACAGTGAATGATGATGATGATAAATATAACAGAGGTTGCAACGGTGGGTCAATGAAGGTTGCTTCTGGGACAGGAAGTTATCAGGTGCTAATGCAACTATGTTTTTAGACTTGGCTTTTATGAGAAGAAATATTCGCAATCATGCACTTCTCTTTCATTGAATCCAAGTATTGGTTGTTATCCATGTAAAGCTAATTTATTCTGGGCACAGTTGGTCGATCCATTGCCTGTCAGGTTTGCTTAATGTTTTGTAAGAAATATGCTCAAAGGACATTTACTGCAGATGCACGAGTTGAATTACATTCCTCTCTTATGACATTTGTGAATGATTTTTAAAAAAGGACAACTGAATGTTGCAGTGGTGATACTATGCTGATTTACTTATTTGCCTTCATTTTTGTGTATATTGTTGCATTAGTGATAGGGACTTTGTAAGGCCTATCTCTCTATCTGTTATGTTGACACCAATGTTTAATTTTGGTAACTTCTACAGATTAAAATTTGAATATTCATCTCATAACAGTATTGGTATTCTGTATAGCAGCGTACTTGATGTTTTATGAGAATTTTCTTGACTATGAAGGTCGCATCGTGGTGCGACATATGCAGGGGATCATTATTTATTTTTACTGTCCTAACAGTATTGTCAATACTTAAAAAAGTTCAAGAACGGTCGTTATTGACCAGTTGCAGGGATGACGAATCTCTGCTATATTTGAAAGTGCATCAAACTTTGGAAGATTTGTTCTAATGATATTATTTGCTTCTGAGTTTGTAGGATAGAGTCCAGTATAATGAATTGAAGTTGGTACCCTTAGGTTTTTAGTTCTGCGATGCTGATGAATACTCTTCAGTTTCCCAAAAGTAACATTAGAAATATTTATCCGCTCTTCCAACATTCCTTCTACCTCAACTTATTTGGAGTTCTAATATACATGGGACAATTAGAATAGTGTTTATGTATAAAAATACTTGGATTTCTATTGGTACTTTTGGACTCGCATAGTTTCTTTCTTCTGCATGTCAGTTAGTTTTTACCTTGGTCATTTTTTTGGAGTGCTAATATACTTGGGACGATTATGAAATTGTTAATGAATAAAAAATAGTCGGATGCATGTTGTGGTACATTTGGACTCGTCTTGTTTTATTAGGTATTCAGTTCCTTGATGCTGATGAGGTACTTTTGGACCCTTGTAGTTTGATTAGGTTTTTAGTTTCTTGATGCTGGTGAAGTACTTTTGGTTTCCAAAAAGTAACATTACAAGTATTTCTCTGCTCTTGCAATCTTCCTTTTACTTCAAGTTATTTGGAGTTCTAATAGACTTGGGACAATTATAACAGCATTTATGCATAAAAAATACTTGTATGCATGTTGGTATTTTTGGATTCACATAGTTTCTTTCCTTTTTTCCTTTTTGATGAACTAACCGGTTAATTTTTCTTCACATTTTACCAGAGTGCAAGAAGCAGATCAGATCATTCACATGATGATCTGATTGTAAAAGCAAGTTCTGGATTTGGATCGTTCTCTTCAAAAGTTGCAGAAAGTGGTTTATCTGCCAATTCTTATCGTGATCGGCATGACATAACTGTAACTGTAAGTATCTATATGCATTTGTAAACCCGATACTTAGTTGATGGCATGACATAACTGTAACTGTAAGCATCAATAATGTATTTTTAAACTTGATACTAAGTTGATGTCTGTTTTAACTGAAGAGATAGTAGCATATCTACCTTAAAACCGAGTTTTTTCAATTATTTGGATCAACTTAAGCTTTGTGGCAGCCAACCTGACAGATCAATTGTAGAGATGGGTTTTTAAAATTGGTCAATTATGGCAACGCAAAAATATCTACTGTTGAATAGAACCTAGTAATGGATGGTGTAAGTTTACCTAGGACATTTAGAGATCCAAAGTTCGATACCATTGACATAGTTTGGAACTCTTCGTGGTATTGTTTCATTTGCCGATTTACATATGTCCTCACATATAATAATAGAGGTAAAAAAATGTTTTTGTGTCCTTCAATAGAAATAATGGAAAATGCATCATACATCTCCATTGTTGATGTTGGCAGCAGTTTTATGGATTTGAATATTATACTTCTTCAGTTGGTATTTGTCAACCTAGGTTTAATTTGAAGCATTCAAAGTAAAAGGTTGTTTTTGTGAGATATATAAGTGAGGTACTGTAAGTATGGTGTAAAAACCGTGGTTTTCATTTAGATTTGTGCACTTTCTCCTGTTCTTTTATGCTTTCAGTACATACTTGGTCATTTATTGTTCTTCTTTGTTTATTGCTAAATTAATCATATTTATATATGTTTTAACTGCTTTTCTGTACTTCAATAAACTAGGGAGATAATGTGCCCCCACCTTTCACTTCATTTGAAGCTACTGGTTTTCCTTCAGAGATTCTTAGGGAGGTATGGACCTAATTTCATTCTTTAAATTCTTGGATATCTAGAAGCTTTGAACGTTTGTACAATAAACTGTGAGTCCAATATTCTTTTGCGACATTTGTTGACTGATGGAGGTCCAATGTGGAGATTAAGAACTCATTCTTAGTTTCCATTTGTACTTTTTTGTCGCAGGTGCGATGTTTGCTCCGAGGAGGAGCCAAATGTCGTACACTGCTGCCCTCTTATGTGGCTTGCATATATTTGGATTGCCCTTATTTGGTGGACCAAATTTTCTGAAGGGCTTTCCGAATCATCTGAGTTCGTGTCCGGGACTTCTGGTGGTAGTGATTCAGTCTGCCGTTTGGTCCAAAAAGAAGAAGAGGCGTCCTCCTACTCTAGCTTTCATCAGTAAGCAATGACTGTCTACATTGTGGGATGATGCTTCTTCTTGCATTGGCTACTCGAATAAGTTGAAAACAGTAACTTTTTAGTAATTTTAAAGCCAGTAACTCTGCTCACAAGGCTTGTGGGTTGGTTTTTGTTTGTTCAGGTTTACCATGCTGGATTTTCTGCTCCCACACCAATACAGGCACAGTCATGGCCAATTGCTCTACAAGGTTCTGACATAGTAGCCATTGCGAAGACAGGCTCGGGGAAAACTTTGGGTTACTTGATTCCTGGCTTTACTCACATAAAGCAACGACGCAACAATCCCAAATTAGGTCCAACAGTTTTAGTGTTGTCACCAACAAGGGAGTTGGCAACTCAGATACAAGCTGAAGCTGCAAAGTTTGGAAAATCATCTAAGATATCTTGCACTGTATGGATCAAATAAAATAGTTTTGTTGCTGTTATAAAGTTGCTTTCTACTTGTGTTTACTTAGTGACCTTGCAATAACTATATACGCACACACACATCTATAAACCCTCCAAAACAAAAGAGCCATACTTATATGCTTTAGTATATTATTATGTGTGTGAAAGAATTTATTGCTGATTCCGGTTCTGATTTGATGTTCAATGAAGTGTTTGTATGGAGGTGCACCAAAAGGACCTCAGTTGAGAGACCTGGACAGAGGTGTAGATATAGTAGTTGCTACTCCTGGTCGCTTGAATGATATTATAGAGATGAGAAGAATAAGCCTCCGTCAAGTTTCGTACTTGGTGTTAGATGAAGCAGATCGGATGTTGGATATGGGGTTTGAACCTCAGATAAGAAAGATTGTTAAGGAGGTGCCTACTAGTAGGCAAACACTTATGTACACGGCAACATGGCCAAAGGAGGTGCGCAGAATTGCTGCTGATCTACTGGTTAGACCTGTTCAGATTAACATTGGAAATGTTGATGAGCTTGCTGCCAACAAGGCTATTACCCAGGTCAATCTTCATATAAATTTCCACCAAAAAGTATCATTGCAGTTTCAGTTTCAGCTTTTATTTTATCTTGATTGCGTCGACCTTTGCATATCATATTTGTTTTTGATTTGGATAATTTGCATAGAATTATTGACAGCTATTATCTTATATATCAGTATGTTGAAGTCCTTTCACCCATGGAGAAACATAGGCGGCTGGACCAGATATTGAGATCTCAAGAACCAGGATCAAAGATAATAATATTCTGTTCAACAAAGAAAATGTGCGATCAACTTGCACGTAAACTAACCCGCCAATTTGATGCGGCTGCTATTCACGGAGACAAATCTCAGGGTGAGAGGGATCATGTGTTGAGTCAGTTTCGCACTGGAAGGTCACCCGTGCTTGTAGCCACTGATGTTGCTGCTCGTGGCCTGGACATTAAAGATATCAGGCAAGTTGTTGCTACATGAATATTGTAAATATTATGAAGCAGGATCTTTGGCATAATCAGAACTTATGATGCACCGATACGGACACATGTGTCCGACACAGTACGTATCGGATACGTCGACACACGATTTGAAAAGAAGTACCGACACGATACGTCACCCACATGTTGATTAAATTCTTTATTCATATTATATAAATTCGTTTTATACTTGTTATTAATATTTCTTGTTGAAATCTTTCAAATATGAATACCTGTTCGCTATTTACTAATAATTTTAGGTAAAATATATAATATCTTAATAAAAAAGAAAAATAATCATGTTAGAGTTTTCAAGGAATGTCGGTATCTTAGTTGAAGGCTCCGTTTGGGAGCGATTGTGATAATTGATTTTTTGACCGTTAGGAGAAAAGTGGGGACACATGTGAGAGAAGAAGTCAAATCTTACGGCTGAAATAGTGAAATAACGGTCAAAAAAATCAATTTTTTGGGGCGTGAAAAATCACTCCCAAACACTCCCGAAATGTCCATGCTACAGAGATCAGAACTTGATAGATCATATGCAATTTCTTGGAAAAGTTAGATACACTAGTCCTTAATTCTTTCTTTGTGCCATGTATCTTAGTTCAGCATATACATGAGATCTTTTCACATTCATGTTTTTTAAGTGTATTAGAGTGTCCTGAAAAATGCTGCATTGCATCCATGACTTTGAAGTCCATGTTTGATTCACAGTAGTGGATAATATATTAATACACAACAGTATAATGACTGTCCAGTGCTATCCAATCCTTTCTACCTTAATATTCAAAAAGATTATGTTGAAATATGGACAATCTGTGACACGCTATGAATTATGTTGCTCCTGATTTTCTTTTCTGTGACTGGTTTTTCCACCCTCTTCCACTAATTTTCTTCTAATGTTACAGGGTGGTAATAAACTTTGACTTTCCCACGGGAATAGAGGATTATGTTCATAGAATTGGAAGAACAGGACGGGCAGGTGCCACTGGAGTGGCTTTTACTTTTTTCTGTGACCAGGATGCTAAACATGCATCAGATCTTGTCAAAGTTTTGAACGGAGCAAATCAATGTGTCCCTGTTGAAATTCGTGATATGGCTCTACGTGGAAATGGAATGGGAAAGGCAAAACGTCAATGGGGTTCAGGCCCTAGCATACTTGGTGGAGGTCGTTTTGGACACTATGATTCTGTCTATGGTGGATGGGATGCGGGACGTGGCGGGTATGATGCTTTTAATTTCTGTTGGTTCTTACAATTACTTTTACATTTTTAAATTGGGAAAATTGCAAAGTTGGTCCCCAGTGTCTTAAAAGGAGCAAGTTTTACCTGACCTATTATAGTTGCCCAATCAGCCTCCAACTATAAACATGTCTAAATTTTTTATAAATCATCATGTTTTCGTTTAGGAAACATGGTTGACTTCAAATTTCTAGGCATCGATTCGAGAAACAATAACTAATGTGTATAATGTTGTCTTTATATTATTAGTAAATCTAACGTATTTTGCTTGTCTATGTTTCTCTTTGTAGTCTAATGTGTGTTGTCTTTATATTGTTATATATGTGCAGCAGTAGGCATGGTGCACGGCGCAGTAGAAGCCCTGGTAGAAATTTAGTGTAACGGAATATGATTCGAGATGGAAAGGGGACGCTGAATATTGATGAATTTTGTGCTTCGGATGGGGCATTTTTCTAAGTAGTATTTTTTTATGCTGTTGTATTCTTTGTGGTTGGAACTCGTTATTTGGATAGTGCTTCAGCTAACTGCTGTTGAATTTTTACTTGTGATAGCAACATAGAGACGGATATATTACTCTCGATTATACATTTGTTCTATTAATCTGAAACTAAGTAATCACTTGCACGTCTACTTTGTCGGTTATTGTCTTGGTGGTTACGTATTTCCTGTAACTATAGGATAAAGTTTGTACGAAATTGATTTTAATGCATGGATGATATCAAATACAAGGATTTTTGTATCCACGTTAAAGAACCTTATCTTACAATCAATGTGTTAGCCTTGCAAGCCCATGAACAAATGCGTGTGCACGATGATGAGGAGAGAGGTAGCACACAATGCCATGAGTAGGGCTGGACATGGTCCGTTAGAATCGAACTGATTCAAAATTTTTCGGATATTTAGTAAGTGGAACTGTTGGGTCCAAATTTAATTACGGAACCGTTCGGGTTTGGTTTCATTCGATTCGGTTCGGTTCGATCCAATTCGGTCCGGGTCCGTATTATAATTAAAATTTTTAATATATACAAAGTTACTTTTATTTAATTAATGATATATTTAATATTAGCTCTTACAAAATAACGTAGTTCAATTTTATGTGTTTCACGTCTTTCTTTGCTGAATTCTTCATAAATTTGATTATTAAAATCACAGAAAGAGAAAGAGAGCGATCTCAAAATAATTAAGAGAGATGGTGTAGAGTTTTAATTCGATTTTCTCCGATAGAAACGATACTACAGTAGAATAACAGATTTAGATAAAATTGAGTTCAATTTGATTAAGTCGATTTTGAACTGAATATTAGAAATAGGAAAATCATATTTTGTGGTTTGAACTAAATTAATTAGTTAATAAATTTATTTAGAAAAAATAAAATAATTTTATTTATTTAAAATAAATTAATTAAAAAAATTACGAAAATTCGGTTCTTATTCGGTTTTTCGGGTCTTGGCCTAGAACCGAGAACCGAACCATACCCATCGGTTCTTGATTCAAATACCCATTCGGGTATTTAACTTGAGAAGAACCGTTGGGTTCGGTTCTGTTCGATTCGGTCAATTCAGTTCGGAAGTTTTGTCCGGCCCTAGTCATGACCAAGCTTTCATCGATCAACAGGGAGGAGGAAGAACCTGCTCCAAGATCATCTCTGAACAAGAAACCATTACCATAGGACAATGAACTCGTGATAATTCTTGCACCATTCAATTTTTAGCTAACAAATTTGTTGTCTAGTTCTAACACGGGAACATCAAGCACTAGCTGCTTAAATTAGGGACTGAGTTTGAACTAAAGGATCTTGGAGAGTCACATTAGTAATTTTTTGGCGTAGGAGTTCGACTTCCATCAAGGAGTCGCACACCCTTAAAGAAAAATACACCAAAAATCTACCATCACAGAGAGCTACGGGAGTCCTCACATTTTAACAGTCCAATGGCCCTCAAGCCTCAACAATCTCCTTGAGAGAGAGAGAGAGAATAAAAAATAAAAAAAAATCAATGCAACGCAATTCAGAAGTTCAGTAGGTGCTCTTAAACACTTGACCTACACTCCTCTGTACATGGTCCAAGCCACGAACAAGGTTTGCCAACACCTCCGAGATCCAGTGGAAGGAGATATTAAAAGCACTAAAAAATTAATATTTTACTATTTTGAAGGAATGATGAACTTCGGTATCAAGTTGGGCAGTGCTTAGTGAACAATCCCCTGGACGTCCGGGGGATTGTTCAAGTCCCTTTCCCCTATCAAGTTTCTTGCTCAAAGTCCTTTCGAATTGTATGGGCAGAATGGCATCAGTGACGTAGATTGAAGCACCACCATAACTGTACGACCTCGGATCCAATTGTGTTTCCTGGTGTGTAGGTCCATGGCCTCTACCAATTCTGAAATGATTTTGGTTACATTTTTCCTTAGAGATGGGCATTCGACTTGATAGTATACCTCAACTACTTTGTGACAAGAAAAAGTGGTCCATACATGGACATAAAAATCCAGCACATACAAAGCAATCTAAATTGATTATTCCCTTTTTTTGATTGGTAAATAAAATTTTATAGATCAAAATTTGAGTACTACTACTCCCAGCATACTGGGCTTACAAAAAGAAACATTACATTAGGTCTAATGACCCAAAAAAACGTAACAATCGTCTACACATTTAGGCTAGCTAATGCCTTAGGCCTAATCCATCGTTTAAGTCAATTGGGTTATGTTGGACAACTTACGTTTTTGGCAACAAGAATTGCCAAAAAGAAACGGGTATCAATTATTGCATAAAGCTGTCAACAATGCTGGTTACTACAAGGCAGAATTCATTTTTCAAACGAGTAACGAACAAGCTAACAATGACCTCTTCAACATATTGCCTTTCTGGGATTAAAGCACGTGTAAGCCAAACAAGAACACAAGAACACATGAATCTGTATGAATCGTCCAAGCAATCTGCTGCCTGAAATTGAGTTTTGCCAAGGATGGGATGCAAAATTTGAATCAATCACAAGAAGCAATCGAAAATTAGTGAGCAGGGGCCTGAATCTTCCAGATTTCATTAAGTTGGCCAGACTTCATGATGTGTGACTTGATTTGAACTTAAACAGAGGCTGGGAAAAACTTGAACAAGAAGATTAGAAATCTGCCAACAAAAACGAACCTGAAGCAAAGCTGACCAATACATCAAACTGGCCAAACTCAATCTGGGAAGCGGCATCCGTTGGTGTATGGTTAAACAATGACAGTCCTTGTGAACTAATGTTTCTAACTTCTTGGTGTAACTTATTACATTGATTTTGAGTGGGAGCTTAGTTTCTGAATGTGTATGCGACCTTGGATTGCTGTTGCATTTATTTATTACTACTATTGTTGTTTTTTTAAATCTACCCAATTGGTCAAGGAAGTTTATCTGGTAATAGGCCTCTAAGAATTTCTAGTACTTCCAACTTCATGATTGTATTTTAGGCTGAGCACAACATCTTATGCACCCATTTCACATGTTAGGCACCACCACCTCGAACTATCTTCTCTATTAGCTTATAATAACTGTCAATTTTTTATTTTTTTTTTCCTTATGTTATCTCCAACAGTCATCACATCTGCTGTGAAAAAGTATTCATAACGCAAATTGTCTAATTCTTCCAATAATATCAGATGACTTGCCATTGGGTTTAATATAGAAATCCAATCTATTCATATTCACTGAACATGACAAATTTGATGCCGAGGTCCTTGTACAATTGCCCAATGCTTTCGATAGGAGACAGTCCATTCAACATGAGAAGACAATAACTAAAGAAAAAGTACATGAAAAGCATGAAAAATTAATCACAACAGAACTAAACGAAGAAGTAGTTTTAATGAATTTGGAATTAACACAATCTACCAACTTCATTGATCACCCATAACGAGATCGAGGTCCTTTTCATATTCTTATTTTCATCTGGAATAGAATAAATATTGACAATGACAGAGGAAATTTGGGCTTTAAAGTAAGCATTCCAAATATGTTTGGATAACTTTCTTTTTGCTTAATCTTAAAAAAAAAAAAGAAAGTTACTTATTTTGACTGTAATTGTGCGTATCGATCCATGCAGTGCTGTAGCTAACGCGTTAAGTATCTCATCTGAAAAGTATGTTTGCAAGAATGGAACTCAAAGGAATTGACGGGGCCCGCACAAGCAATGGAGCATGTGGTTTAATTCGATGCAAAGCGAAGAACCTTATCAGAGCTTGACATGCCACGAATCCTCTTGAAAGAGAGGGGTGCCTTTTTTTTTTTTTTATGTAAAATGCATATCTTTTTTTTTTTTTTTTTTAATGTTGACCAATATTTTTTTCTTAAAAAAATGCTTATTTACTTATAATTGTGCTTTAGCCAAGTGAATATATATTATTTACTTCATTTTGCGAAATTGGAGGTTCATAGGGGGTGTCAATGCGGCTCGTCGGCCCGTGGCTCAGCCAAGGAAAAGCTTGAGCTGACCCGACTCAGAGTGAGCCCCATTTTGGGGATATCAGCTTGAGCCACCACTGCCTGCAAGGCATAGGCAGCTACTTAGCTGCCTGTGTTTAAAAAAGAAAAGTTGTGAGGTTGTGTGGTTTAGTTTGACAAGGCTCAAGCTGAAAACTCATGTCGTGTCTAGATTTTTTGGTTGAGTGAAAGCTTGACTACGGGCCAAAAAAAGCGCAAACTATTTTTACTCGAGTCGAGTTCGAACCTCGACTTTTGGCTCATTGACATTCCTAGAGGTTCATGATATTGTGCACAGTCATTGTGAGCTCTGATGTGCCGTGTAGGTTTTTTTCCTTCCGAAATGTGATACTTCTAATGGTATATGTAGAATGGGTGGTAGCAAGATTCTGAACAAAAATTTATACAGTTGATTTTGTATTCTGGTGCATTTGTATTCACTTTGATAAGTACATACAGCTAAATAAAATCAATTTCACTGTGCAATATTTGCAGATATTACTCGACTACACAATGGCATGCTTATTAAACAGCTGAATACTATGAATTTGATTCTAGTTTCGGAAGGTTCGTTCCCCGTGCAATTTGATCTCAACTATGGGAGGAAGCCCAGCCAATGTGCACACATCTAACTCTAATGATGGGAACAAACTTTGGGAGAATCAATTTGAACCTTTTGCCGACAAGTTTGAAGTACAATGGTGGAGGTCGACTATTGGGCAAATTAACTCGAACCTTTGTGGACAAGTTTGAAGTAGAATGGTGGAGGTCAGCAATTTGGCACATTAACGTGAACCTTTGTGGGCATGTATTGTTACAAAGCAAGACCCAAAAGAATGACCTTAAAACTTCAGAACACAGACAACACAAAGGCATTAAGTTCTCATTGATTTTAGCTCAGAACAAAGCATTGTACCCTTCTATACAATGTGAGGGTTCATAGAATTACAACCCAGAAACAAGAAAACAGAGGCAGCTACTTAGTGGACCCAGATCTCTCCAAGAACCCAAATGATATCCTTCCAAATCAAGAACTAAGAATCAAAAAGACTCAACACACTCAGATTCACTAGAAAGACTAGTAGTTTGCGGTTAGATTGCAAAAGTCACGAAGAAGAAGAAAGGATAGAGACACAAATTCGAGAGAGAGAGAGAGAAAGACCCAGAAACG